CAACTCGGATTGAAGGAGCACAAAGCCTCCTTACCAAGTCACGACATCTCCCACTCGGACGCTGCGGAAGCGCAACGCAACACGATCCATCATGCAACGCAGCATGCCAAGACCACTGCATGGGGGATGCGGCAGGCACAATCGAGCATTCCAATAAGACGGGCCGATGATGACCGACCTCACTACGCCATCGGCGGATGCATCACACATCACGCAAGTCTCCACCCTCACACATGGTAAGTAGCGGATGCATTGCAGAGATTACTTGCACCACCGCTCCCTCACTCTCTCTCTACTCCCCGGTTGTTTTCCTTCTTCACATGCAAGTCGTTTTCCCTTTGCAATAGCGGTGCGTCCCCGTCTTCCTTCAAGTTTTCTTGCACCTCCTTTCTCACTTGCCGCATTTCTCACCTTCCCTCGCGGCATTCTCCCTCTCCACGATAGCATCTTCGTTCGAGGTCTACCCCTCGATTTTGTGATCGATGGGCAAGATCAGAATCACGATAGTCATTCAATGGCAGGTTCCCTTCTTAAATTCGATTGTATCTTCCCATAATCCTACGACAGATTCATCGAATTGATCCTACCTGTTTTAGTCACGGGAGAGGGAGGTAAATTATAAGAAACCAAAAGTAAATAATAAATAAATGAAACAGAATCTAACGAGTAATCAATAAAATAATATATATGTATATATAGATATATATAATCTACTACGGCAACATCCTCGACACCACACCTGTTGTTTTTTATGCTACGACAAGTGTCTAAAGCCAACTAATTGTAGCTAAGGGGCTCATTAAACACTCCTCGGAGACACAATTCCAATGATTTTGTCTTCATTCCACTTCTCCTCATAGATGAAATCGGAGATGAAAATGTGAAAACACTTCGAGGACAAATCCGTGGGCTCCAAGGATTTCCCAGCAAAATAATATTTGCCACGAGGTCCCTTGGAGCCTAGGATCCACGTTTCGCGGAGAGGAGAGGGCACACACGTAGAGAGACGTTACAACGGTTGAATCCAGATCGTGGCGGCACCCTATTGGCTGAAAGTCTCAAACACAACTGTTTTTTTTTTTTTCTTCTTTTTTTTCCCCGAAAACGCTCCAAGGACGAATCTCTAAGTCGACGCTCCAAGGATGAACGATGATGCAAAAAACGTTATTTTTTCCAAGGATTTCGTCCTTGGGCCCAAGGACGCTTTGAGGGGTGTCTAACGAGCCCCTGAGTTTATGAGTAAGGTCACCGGTGCAAAGCGTAAGGCGTGCTACAGATACTGCCATAAGATCAATAAAACAATTAAAAAAATAAATAAATTATAAAGAATATAACCACAAAATACTCGTAGTACCACTTGTAATTTGCAGGCATAAGAAAAAATATAACTATAACTAAAAAGAAAAAGACGAGGTTGTGGATTCAATACCTGTACCCCATCTACCAGCCTAGCGCGGTTGGTAAGGTACGAAGTGGCATTCAAGAGTCCTAGGTCCTATCCCCATTGACCTTATGCATCATTCTGGTCAAGCTTGGCGCCCGCCACCTAAAGATAGATCGTTGGCCCCGCGCCCCCCCGCCCCCCAAGTGTTACTGAGTTGGAACCGCTGATGTTTATAGGGGAAGGGGATCCACAAAAACGCAGATTGGAAACATAGTTGGTTTCTGAGTTTTGTTGTTGGAATGAATGTCTTGTTGAGGTTTCCGCTTTTTGTTGAGTTTTCTAAGTCTGTATGTGTGTGTGCTTGCTCGTCTGTATGTGTGTGTACTTGCACGTCTAGGTGTTTGTCTGCATGCTTTTTTAAGTGAGTGTGCGTGTGACCCACAAATCTATGTGTTCCACAGGTCTGTGTATGTCCCGCAGGTCTGTTTGTGTCCAACAAGTCTGTGTGTATCCCGCAGGGGCACCAGTTTGTTTGAGCGGCCCCACACGACCGATACTTACCTATAGTCGTGACTTTGAGGTTTGCAGCGGTAAAACACTCAGAGCAGCGAGGGTAGACCTGCAACACTTAGAGCAGCGGGGAGAAACACTCAAGTAGCAGGTCGGTCGGTACCACTCAAGCAGTGACACACGTACAGGGAACCGACCGCAAAGCAGAAGAAGATAAAAGTTAACATTTTTAGAGGCCCGGCAACGGTAGGTAGGCGGGTACAAATCAAAGTAGTCTGAGTTTAGGGTCTGTGCGGACGATATCAGAGTCTGTAATGATGTTTTCCCTCCGAAAGGGTGGACGTACCTGGTTACATGGGTGGCCACTCGGTCAAGAAGTCACCGCCCAAGAGGAGAATGCCTTGCTAACATGATCACATGCTTAGCTCCATTTTAATCATGGTTTTGATCCAGTTTTCTCTGCACCACAACGGGGACCCGGGATCAGGTCTCTTTATCATATGATCTTGAAACTGATAGAGTCATCCGTGATAATTTTTCCAGTCTCCAACAGTCATGCCTTTCAACCGCCTCGACAGTATGGTCGGGGCCTATATTAATTTAGCCTGACTGGAACGTACTGACGCATACGTTCCTAATATTTTCACGCTCCTTATCTTTAACGAGCGTCTCACTATGACAGGTGCCTTATATTTTGTAACCTTAACCATTTTCAGCTACAAAGGCAGTGTATAAGCCTGATTTCATTAAATTGAACCCTCGACTTTTGTGGTCGAGGGACATTATTACTGATTCTACCCATCTTAGCAAGCGTCGGTACAACACGCGAGTGTATTAACCGAATTTACTTTCGGATACCCCTTGACTTCAATGGCTGAGGAATGCGTTGAAGCGGAACTTTTGGGAGGGGAAAATAATGGAGTGTGCATGTGTGCGTGTGTGCACGTATATGTGAGAGTAAGTGAGCGAGTGTGTGTGTGTGTGTGTGTGTGTGTGTGTGTGTGTGTGTGTGTGTGTGTGTGTGTGTGAGAGAGAGAGAGAGAG